CTCGGCGGCCTTTCCGGCCTTGGTGCTGCCCTGAGGAAGGTTGCAGCCCTCCCGGCCCACACCCTGCTCCCTTTCTGCTCTGTGCCTCCCGCAAAGGTGCCGCCCGACTGGGAGCGCGCGTCCTTCCAGCAGGCCAGCCCGGCCAGCCCTGACCTGAAGGCGGGCACCGCCTTCCCCTGCCCCGGAGGCTTCAGCCAGGGCTCGCTGATCGCCGCCGACGAGGAGTCCCGGGAGTTCGACGACCTGATCTTCGCGCTGAAGACCGGTACGTTCCGCGAGCGGCAGAACCTCAGCTCACCCATCCCGGTTATGCTCCCAGCCAGGCTCAAGGAGCCTGTGTTCTTGGCACCAAATAGAACACAACCTAAAAATAATTTTCAGTGTGCTTTGAAGAACGCAAAGGCGTGCTGTGACTAGATGTGAATTTCTCTGTCCAGGAATCTTGCTAGAACGCAAGGGATACGGAGGCAAGTTCAGTGGGTGGGAGTTTTGCAGCTCACCTGCCAAGAGACCTTCTGGGTTTCTGAGAGGGCATCTCCCTATGTAGTTCAGGCTGGCCTTGAACTCACGATGTAGCCCAGGACGTGATCCTCCTGCCTCAGCCTCCTAGGTGCTGGAGTTTCGGGCATGCCCCACCCACCGGCTCAGTCCATTCTTAAGGAATGTGTCGCCTCTGATAGGCTGGGCATGGATGGAGCAGTAGGGTTAGCCAAAGCCGAAGGCTTCAGTGTGTGGCTGGCTTCGAGGGGCCAGGGAACCGGGCAGCGGCAAAAGCCCTGATGCGCAGCTTCGAGTAACTGCGGGGCTCCGCTGTCAGGATCCAGTGTGTGCTTCCCCCAGCCAGTCACAGCCCGGCCTCCAGGGAAGGATCCCTGGTCACGCAGATCTGGGGTTTTTAATAAACTGGATTTTATTCTCTCCCTTTCCCTCCTCAAGTCCCCTCCCCTTCCTGTGTACAAAAGCTCTGTTTCCATTTTCCCCTTCTGCTTTCACTTTTTCTAGTCCCTCCCTCCTCCCTTTTCCCCATCCCAGTTCGACGTTTTCCCTCCGTCCATCAGACACCTCAGTCCTTCTTTCCACTTTCAGGTTCTCACACCAGAGAAGCAGTGCGGCCTTAAACGTGCCTAAGAGCACGGTCTCGAGGTCCCTCCGTGTGGCTCTGACTTCCTGTGCTCCTCCTTCTTTACAGCAGGGTCGTGCTCCATCTCCCCCATCCACCCAGAAACTGACGGGCGTGTGGCTGATGCAGCCGTCACAAACATGGGTGTGTGTGCATCTGTGGGAGGGCACTTTTAGTCCCGTCAGGAAGATGCCCAGGAGAGATGTAGCTGAGTCAAATAGCACCTCTGGTTTTAGATGTTTGGGAAACCTCCACACTGATTTCCACAGTGGTCTCACCAGTCTGCACTCCCACCGACCGTGGGGCAGGTTCCTTTCTCCTCACAACCCCACCAGCATTTCTTATGGTTGATGTCTTGATGCAGCCATTCTTTCCGGAGTGAGGTGGAATCTCAGCTTTTCTTTTTAAATATCCATTTCATGAATGACCAGTGGTGTTGAACACTTTTTCATATATTTACTTGCCATTTCTAAATCTTCATCTGAGAAGTATCTTTTTATTTCAGATCCCCAGTTTTGCACTGGGTGTTTAAACTTGAGGGTCTCTCTCTCTCTTTTTTTTTAGTTCTTTATATTATTCTAGAGAGTAGTCCTTTATTGGAAGAACTGGTAAAAAAAATTTTTCCCACTCTGGGTTGTCTCTTCACTGTTGGTGGTTTCTCTTGCTGTGACCACATATATACACTTGGTCCACTGCAGAGATTTAAAATGCACATTGTTGTTTTAGCAACACTAAAACTTCTTAGAACCTGGCATGGTGGCATTCGCCTATCATCCTAGCACAGGGTAGGCTGAGCCAGGAGGATCTCTGAAACTTCAAGGCCAGCCTGGGGTCCACAGACCCTTTGTCAAAAAACCAAAAACTTCCTGGAGCAAAGAAACCCATTTAAATGAACCTGCCGTCCCTCCATCAGAAGCAGTGAGCGAGTCATTCTGGGTGAGCAGAACACTTTACTCTTGTTTTGCATGATATGAAAATGCTGTTCAGCTATTGCAGCGAGGCGGGGGGGTGGGGTGCAGGGAGCCATGGGGCTTTCAGAGGAGCAGGCGACTGGTTCCGGTGGTTCTGGACTAAAGTCACTGTCTACCACAGAAATAGGAGCAGTGGGTTGAATATTCAGGGCAGAACTCAGGGAGGGACTTGTAGGCAGCATCCTGAATGAGTCGGTGAGGAGATCGTGTCTGTAGTTTGGGCTGGGAGGAGGGGAAGGAAAAGAGGTGAGGAAGGTTTGGGAGCGGAAGAAAAGAGAGGGAAAGAAACACGGGACGGCAGCAGGATAAGCTGAAGATTTGTCTTCCTCATTTTGCTTGTTGCTGTGTGACACAACCTCCGACAGCCGCATCTGAAAGGGGAGGTTTCTTTCGTCTCGCGTTTCAGCCCGTGACCTGCCAGCTCCAGGAAAAAACAGCGCTACAGCGGGGCCTGGGGGAGCAGAGCGGCTCACTGCAGGGCGGCCCAGGAAGCAGGGAGAGCTGGGAGGAGCCAAGGAGGGAGCTGACCCTCCCTAGGCTCCACCCCCATGGCCGCCTCTTCCAATCAGACAGGAGCCAGGGAGGGAGGCAACCCTTAAGCCACGCCCCCACGACCACCTCTTCCAATCAGACCCAGCCTCCTTACAGTCCACTGTGAGCCTGGATGCTCAGTCTACATTCCAAAGCCCGCCTCTGAGCACCAGGAGGCTTTGGGGACATCTAGGTAGGAAACAGTGAATAGTTGAGTGTCCCAGAGAAACCCCAGCAAGGTCAGAGCGAGGGAGCGATCAACTGAGAACGCTGGGCAGCAGGAGACTTTGGGACGACAGCTCGTGCTGGGGGCAGATGGTGTCCCCAGCACGGCACGCAGTGTCCTGTGACACCAAAACCATGAAGGGAATTCTCAAGCATAATTCAATTAGATCCCTGGGTTATATATGGAGCAAGTATTAGATGCATTTGCCTCAGGAATGCGTGGAATGACTTGCTTACTTATAGATTTAGCTGGGCATTCCTTAGGGTTGTCTGAATTCACTAAATACTTCCCAGGATCAAAATAACAATGTCAAACATGGGTCCCTGTACGTTTAGAAAAGCTCCTGTAATATAACCGAGCTGCCCCAGGCACGCTGCACCGCATGGCCATGTCAGAGAGCAGTCCACGTGCCACTGTAATGCAGGAGGACTTGGGGCTGGCCGCAGGCTACAGTCGGACAACCTTTTAAAGTGTTCGACCCAATGTTAAAAATGTAAAGATAGCTCATAAAAATCCAGAATTTCTGGGGAAATCGAGCAAGAGAGCGCTCGAAATCTGTACCGCAGTGGGCACCCGGAGCAGAGTCCAGGCTGCCCCGTGGACAGGAGCACGGGTTGTCCACATGCCCTGACCCAAGTCCCCGGCTTCGGTTGGCCCCGTTACACATCTGAGCTTGCAGGCTCCTTGGGCCAACCCAGGTCATTCTGAGAGCAGCACAACCTGCAAGAGTGCTTGACCTGGGCCTCTAAATGCTCTTTCACAACCAGGGAACCCTTGGCACACATTTAAATAAGCATCTAAAGCTTTGCACTGTAAATGTAAGTAGTATCAAATATTAATATAAAATTCACTGTAAAATGGAGTGTCTCAAAACAACTGAGCATCTTCCATTTTTTTTTTTTTTAAAGATAAGCTAAAAGTGTCTCCGCATCTTTACCAGCCCTGATATCTTCTGCTATTCATTTTTAAAATAGATCAACAGAATCTTCTCTTGTTGGAAATTTTATGTCATGTGCCTTTCCCTTAAAATAGGTACTGTATTTCCATTTGGTGTCCTCCGCAGAGTTTTGTCCTACTCTATTTTACGTTAGGAGCCCATACTGAAATACATTAACCCAGTAAGTCAGAAGTCTTCAGCGGGGAAACAGAATTCAAAGCCCACCCGGGGCTGAGGTGTTCGCTTTGTTTACATCCTGGCTTCTGAGAAGGGACTGGGTCTGAAAGGCTCTGACTTGGACCCCCCAGCCCTCTCTCTCTGCTTCCTGGTTGCTCTTTCTTTCACCACGCCCGCCGGCCCTGATGTTTCTACCTTGGAGCAGCCAACCCTGGATTGAAACTTGGGAACCCGGGAGGCAGAATAACCCTTTCCTCCTTCTAATCATCTGTCTCGGGTATTGTCACTGCGACAGAAAGCTGACTGACCCAGGTTACGGAGTCAGGGAGCCCAGACCGCAATCCTGGGGCCTTCGAGGACTGGACTTTGAGTTTCCTTATTCGTCCAGGATGGTGACCCTGGTTAGCTGTGTGTTGCCTCAGGCTTGGGAGCCGTCTGTGGAAAGCGCCTGGTCGGTGGACTTTAGGTTCATTACGTGGTATGAATTCTTCGGTGGGTTCAGTTGTTAACTTGAAAACAGTTTTAAATGTTCATGATACACAGAGTCTGCCTAAAAATGTATACCTCGGGAAAAGAAAGCTTGTGTACAATTTTAATGCTGAATTTAGCGATTGCATGACATGAGTACAAGTCACCGTTGGCCCCGACAATCACACGGGTGCTCAGAGTAGTGGCCGTGAGCTCCTGCGTGGGGATTGGTGCCGGGTCTGCACCCCTCATCGGATCAGAACCAGTGACCCCTTCTGACCAGGTTGCTTGAAGACACAGGGAAGAAGACAGGATTACGGCTGGCAGGTCCTTGGCAGCAGAGCGGCTGTTGTCACTGTTGCTGGACGCCTCTCAAATTTTTGGCTCAAGATATAAAAAAAAAAAAAAAAAAAAAAAAAAAATCACAGTACTTATCTGGGTGCGGTGGCACTGGCCTGTGATCCCAGCACTTGGGAGGCTGTGAGTTTGAGGCCAGCCTGGGCTACGTAGCAAGACCTTATCTCAAAAACCAAACAAAAAGTCCAGAAAATCCCCATACTTTCTGCAAAGCCAGTGAGAGCCCTGGAAGGGACGCTGCTGCGGAGGCCTCTACTCCCTGCTTCTCCCAAGGGGCAGCTCCGGCCCTGAGGCCTCCGGCTCCTCTGCCCGCCTCTTTGTTACTCTTCCTCTTGTTTGGATCAGATCTCTTTATGCAGCCCAGCCTGGCCTCAAACCCACAGCGATCCTCCTGCCTCAGCCTCCCAAGTTCTGGGATTACAGGCATGCACTACCACGCCCAGCTAAATCTGTTTTTAGAAAATGATTTCTTGTGGTTTATTTGTTTGTTTATGAGACAGGGTCTCACTGTATAGTTCAAACTGCCCTGGAACTTACTGTGTAATCCAGGCTGGTCTCAAACTCACCCAGATCCTCCTGACTCAGCCTCCGAGTGCTGGGATTATAGGTGTGCACCACCACACCCGGCTTCGAAAATGATTTCTACTTTTAAAAGCTACTCAAGTCAATCTAAAATACAGTTCCATCGTTGCTGAGTATTAATATCGTAAATGTATACTTTTGTACTAATATAGGAAAACCCTGTTTTGGCAGAACATAGCCCTTCCTTTTTATTTTTACTGTTCCAGTTGTCGGTGCCCGTGGGGACTGCACACACCTCCCCTCCTGGTTCCCCCTTCTCCCGTCCCTGTCCCCTCGAAGTCTCCCGGATGCCCCTTGCTCCCTCCTGTCTCTGCCCTCAGCCCCTCCGCCAGGCCTGGGGACCTCAAGCTCTGCGGTCGCTGTCCCCTCCCTGCAGGCGCCGGCCTCAGCGTGAGCGACACCGAGTCCGGCCAGGGCAGCCAGGAGGGCGGCGCGCTGAGCGACTCTCAGATCGTGGAGCTGCGGCGGATCCCCATCGCCGACACGCACCTCTGACGCCGGGGAAGTGGGCAGGGGCGGAGGACCGCTGTCCGGTGGGTCGGCCCAGCCCCCGCAGTGCTAGCTCATCCCCACTTGACTAACCTGGTTTCCTGAAAGTGATAATAAAAGCAATAGAACGCGTTTGCTGTGATCCGGGCTCATCATTTAAAATGAACGATCTGTGTTGGGCAAAAAAGCAAAGCCTGCCTAGCTGGGGTCGAGCACCTCACCCGTGTCTGCTCTCGTGATGCAAGAGGTCTGGGTCCAAGACTTCACTCCGCTAGAAGATGAAATTTAATTCCTGAAAAGCCATACAATTATGGCCAAGCCTGTCAGCCCATGGGCATAATCCCAGCACTCAGGAGACTGAGGCAGGAGGATCTCTGTGAGTTCAAGACCACCCTGGCCACTTGGCCCCTACAGAGAAGCAAGGTCACCGCTCTTTCCTGCCTCTTGTGACACACAATGCGCCCAGTGCTGTGGCCGCTGCCAGGCCAAGGAGGTGACCAGGGACACTGTCTGCAGTCCCCAGCGCTCTCTCTGTGACCTCAGCCACACGGCCACCAAGGGACTTCCGGCTGGGGCTGAAACCTGGGAAAATGAGCACTGGGAAGGTAGGAAGTGACATCTCTGCCGTGGGCCTTTTGAGCAAGTAAACTCGAGGAGCTGATTTTCTCTCCCATGAGAGAGTCCTGATCCAGCACAGCGGAGTGTGCTTGTCTCCCTGGGGAGCCCAGCAAGCTCCCGACACTGGCTGTTTACACGCAGGACCCGTACACTCGCTCGCGGCTGTCCAGTGACACCGATGGAGGGAAGACACTTTTTGATTTTGTTTTTTTAAGGCAAGGTCTCACTGCAGTTCAGGTCCCCTTGAACTCACCGTGTAGGCCAGGCTGGCTTCAAACTCACAGCGATCCTCCTGCCTCAGCCTCCCGAGTGCTGGGATCACAGGTGTGTGGCCACCACGCCTGCTGATGCTGTGCTGCTTCACCCAAGTGAAGGCAGCCCTCCCCGCCTGGCCCCAGGGGAGGGTTGAGCAGGTGACCATTCCACCCCCAAACTACAAATTCAGGTGCCATGGTGTGGGTTAGCACCCAGACTAAGACCAGGGGCCATAGGGGGCGCTTTTGAATCGCCCCCTTTCTGTTTTTATCCTATTAAGCAGAATTTAAACTGGGTGTGGTGGCATGGATCCCAGCACACAGGAGGCTGAGGCAGGAGGATCGCCTGGAGTTCAAGGCCAGCCTGAACTACATAGCAAGACTCTGTCTCAAAACGTAGAAATAAGGAAACACTGAGCAGAGTTATAAAGAGTCGTTAGTCTGTTAGAGGGTTTCCTCCCCTGCCTCCCCTTCTGCCATCTCTCGGGCCCCTTCCCATTTGAGAAAGCTGTATGCACCCACTTCCTATTTTCCATCTTTGTTTTCCTAGCTTCTATCTTTTCCTTTGCTCTTTATTTATACTCTGGGTTTCTCATATAAGAGAAGCCATGAAGTACTGTGTCTGATTTATTCCACTGAACATAGGGTCTCAAGGTGCGTCTGTTTTCCTACGGATGCCGTAAGTTCCTCCTTTGTGGCACAGTAGTATTCCATGGTGGCTAAATACCCTGTTTTCTGTCTCCATCCGTCGGTGGACAGGTAGGCCATTTCCAAGATTTAGCTATTATTAGCCGGGCGTGGTGGCGCACGCCTGTAATCCCAGCACTCGGGAGGCTGAAGGAGGATCACTGCGAGTTCGAGACCAGCCTGGGCTACACAGTGAGTTCCAGGTCAGTCTCAACCACATAGTGAGACCCTATCTCAAAAACAAACAAACAAAAAAAGATTTAGCTATTACGAATCATGCTGCTATAAAAGTGAAACCTCTATGGAAATCTGTATGGAGATTCCTCCAAAAAGAGAGAAAGCTAGACATTCCATTTGGATTTCTGTTTCTCTTCTAGGTATCTTCTGGAAAGACTTTTAGACATCATAGTACAGTGAGTTATTTTGATAGGAGACAGGCACAGGCCACTTCACACCTTCGAGTTACCAAGTACAAACTTCTCCATTACAAATTCAATTCAATAAAGACTCATTTTATTTACATGATATACAGTTTTCTTTGAAATTCAGACTCATAGACTATGCCTGCTGGGAGCTTGGAAATCCTATGGTGGAAATTACTTTCCTGGATAGGAAACAAAGGAACTTGTAAAAATAAATATGACCAATTATGGACTCAACTACTAAAGAAAACTACAGTATATAAATCATAGAATGGGTTTTCATCATGAGCCTCGTTTTCCTCTTTTCTTTCCGGTCCTGGGAATCAAACTCGGGACCTTGCACTTGCCACCAGTAAAACCCCAGCCCTTATTTTTTGGCTTTTTGAGACAGGGTCTCACTAGGTAACCCAGGCTGGCCTTGAACTCTCCCGACCCTCCTGCCTCAGCCTCCTGAGTGCTGAGAACACAAGTGTGAGCCACCACACCTGCTGTGAGTCTTCTCTGAAGAGCAAATCAGGGCTGCAGGGGTAATTTAGGAGTCAAGCACTTAACAGCAAGCAAATAAAAGAATGAAATCCTGTTGGTGTTGATCGATTCTATTTTGAAATGTCGCTGGTACATGCAGTTAACTCTGAAGAAAGTAGGAATTGAAAGAGCCTCTAAAAGCAAAGGGACAGGGACCAGGATTTAGCTCCGTGGTGCTGTGGTGCTTTTGCAAATGCAAGGTCCTGAGTTTGATCCCGGTATGGCAAAAAAAAAAAAAAAAGACTAAGACGTGCTGTGTCCTGTGTCAGCTCCCCACCATAAATGTCATCATCGGTGTGGTGAACCTGGGGCAACACATTGAAAAATCTTTTCAGATGAAGGCTAAACTGGACTTCTTTGGGAATGCAGATATTTAAACCAGTGAGTCAAGGGCAGGGAACCTGGAAAACACTGGCTCACCCTGGGGCTTCCCAGGACTGAGGTCTGTAGGGTAAGGAACCCTAAGGGTGAGCCTTCGAACTCGGGTTTCTGAGCCCCGCTTCCGGACGCGGAAACTGCTAAGCACCGGGGCGCCGCTCGCATTTCTCCCCGGAAAAGCTGGGAGCTCCGGGTTCCCGCGTAACCGGCTCTGGAGCGAGTGGGGACAGAGCGCGGTGGCGCCAGCCGGGCTGCTCTTCCCGGAGCCGGAGCCGAGCAA